GGGGCAATAACGGGCCGGGTTTTGTGCAGTCTAGAGACGAGAGGTGTCATGCGTGCTATTGGCAGGGTCACTACAAGGAGGCATTAGTCTAGGATGCTTCCGCAGCAGTTGTATATTTACGCTGAAAAGGGATGTAACTAAGGATATAATTTACATTGTTCAGGTATTTTGTTTCCTGGAGATGAGGTATCGAGCTGTCCCTCGTCTTTCTAAACACCCTTGACCTATCAAGATAGAAATCCCCACAGACTTCTAACCTTTCTATACAAAAGGATAGTCCAACCAATAAAAGTTCCAACAACTAAGGGCAGTCCGAACTTGTACCATGTTACAGGACTCCATAGTCTCGCTACTGGGAGGTCTTGCTTGTTGCCTCCTTGGAGTACCGCTGGTGCTTCATCGACTTGTACACCAGTAAACTCCTGAACAGCTCGAAGTAAGATCTGCACAACCTGTGCTGGCTGACTTAAGAACGGCGAGTGGCTTGTTTGAAGCTCGGTATGGAATACACGACCACCCAGTGCCCTCGCCATTCCAACCGTCATTCTTTGCGCAAAAACTGGCAGCCCCTGGTCTTCAACCGTCCCAATGTACCATGCAGGCACATCTACCCAGCCAGCATACGCATACTCGCGACCTTCAAATAGTGCTTTGAGGCTTTGCGTACGAAGCATTGAAGTATGGTAATCTGCCTCAGCAGGTGGCAGATCGTGGTAGAAGAATTCCTGAGGACGAACCACGAGATCTGCAAACCCGGTTTCCTTGTTGATGCGCCAAAAAGGCAGAGGCTGACCCAAAAATAAATCCATGAAAGCAACGCCGGTGAAAGTGAAGCCCGAAGCGATGAGGACAAGACCAACAACATAGCCTTTCTGTTCGTCGGATACATGTGTGATGGTCTTGGGTTTAGCAAGGCCTTTAATGACACTGTTGCCAACCATACCACCGTAGGAGTGCGCGATAACAATCACGTCACGACCGTTGTCTGTTTCTTTTGTAATTGCAGAGCGAGCGGCATCAACATCGTCTTTGAAGGTCGCCATTGGATTGTCCATTGTTGAGGGCAGAGCGACAGTAATGCATCTCAAATGGTGTCGTATTTCTAAGGGTTCTGTGACTTTATCGTAGCATGATGGCCTATGCCAAGCGCCAGGAATAAAGACTAGGCTTGTCTGGCGCGTCATCTTGTCAAAACGCGGGAGGAAAGTGTAGCAGTGTTGTGTAGTTGATGAATAAAAGGAAAAGGGTTGGGAATTTATAACAAAACACATCACGGATGCGTTCGGAAATATGCGTGCATTAGCGTATGATTGAGTGTGGCCTAGCTGATTTTTTATTGCCTGATCTGGACAGATTGACGAGTAAGACTGGGGCTTCAAGCGGACTTTCTAGCTGACATCTCCACCACGGAGCAAGGACAGTGTTAACATCGAATGTCAACGCAGATTGACCCATATTTGCCCGGCAGTAGTTGATAGAATCTATATCTCAGGGCAATCCTCAAGCAACATTCTCCATTTCCCGAGCCTCACGAGTAACGGTCCATACCAGAATCGACGGCTATTCTCCAATTCTTTCGCCTGCCAAAACATTAAAGATCGGCACACAGTTCATCGCCGTCAAATATATCTTTCTGCATACCACTAAGAGCGTCATCGCGGGAATTCCTGGAAAGGAAACAGGTCTATCGATGGATGGCGTGACATTGGAGGTTGTAGAGGCCTTAGCTGAAGATTGTCGGCCAGTTGGGTGATAGTAATCGTATTAGGCTCGTTTGATCAGAAGGCGATACGAGATAAATCCTGACTGTAATCATAACGGCGTTCCCATAGCCTCTTCTAGCTGTTGGTGTTCTTGCACTCCCTTGGACTTACAGTGCAGATTTTCGAGAGCAGAAGCATCCCTTCCTCAAACTTCTATCCGTTGGAAGAGAACCAACGCGTTGATAAAGCCGTTGTTGAGCGTGTAGAAGAGTTCATGCAGAAGAATAGGGTTGCTATAGTGAAGATCGCACAAGTTTGGCACATAAAGAAAGGGTGCATGCCTATTTCTGGTTTGGAAACTAAACAAAGGATCGATCAGCTGGTGGTGGAAGTGCCGTTCCCTTCCTAAGTATGTTATGAATCAAGATTATACAGAGAGAATCTATCACGGATGTCACATTACAGCAGATATAGAGAAACTTCTCAAGTCCCACGAAAATATCATAATTTTGTGTAGAGTAACCAATCAACTGATAAGTTTTTTTCATGTATAGACCAAATGATAAATTGGTCAGTCATGGGAAAGGGACTGGGCAAAAGACTCACCGAGTCTGAAGAATTCGAAAATATAATTAATAACCAATTAAAATTGGGAGAGAATTGAGGAACTAGGCGGAAGAGGCAGCAGCCTAGGTATCCAAGCGGTCGGATCAAGTTTAGCTTGCGAGCTAGCGATGCAATTCACGCCCTGATTGAATCGATATGATCGTGATGGATCAGTATTGATCTTGGCGGATCAGCACTGATCGCGTATAGATGCGTGATTGGTGAAAAATGTGGGGTACACGTGGCAAGGGTCGTAACAAATCGATTTCACTTCAAAGAACTTTCACTGCAATTTTAACCCCGCCCGGAGCATCATGCATGCCTACTAGAGCTGATTCGGGCTCCCGAACACCATCTTCATCACTGCAATTTTAACATCGCTCGGGGCCATCATATAAGTCTACTAAACCGGAATCCAGGTAACTATCTGGCCGGGTCGAAAATAGAAATCTTCCCATGTCTTTGACCTCTTCGCCCATATGCCTCCTTTCTATCAGCCTTGACTTAATAAAAGAACTTTCAGATATTACGAAATAAATATATCAATCAATGGCGATTCAAAGTGTTGGGTCAAGCTCCACTGCTCCAGCTTATAGGCAAGCACCAGATGGTGGACCGCGGTGGCTGCAGGCTGTCATCGTGTAAGCGTAAGCACGCACTTCAACACCAAAATACAGCATCAGAAACTTCTCGAAAATCTATCGATTCAAAGTTTGATATTTTTTAAATCATTCCGACTCAAAAATCGACCGGATCAATTAACTCACCAAAGGAAATGGAATCGGAGCAAAGACTAGCCGAGTCTACTGGAGTTATTTCTCTTTTGGGTTAAAGTCCACTTTGTCCGCCGACACGGGCCTCGGCTCGATAACTAATACAACATGGCGAGATTTTCATATTTAACAACTTGAGACCACACGAATATCAACTGACAAACCAACATCGGCATCATGACAGACTTACTTGTTTCAAAACCCCTTGAGCTACCATGCGGCCTCACGTTGCCCAACCGTCTCGTCAAGGCGGCCCTCGCTGAGGAAATGGCCGATCGCCAGAATCTGCCAACAACAGCTCAGATGGAACGTACGTACGGTGCCTGGGCTGATGGAGGTTGGGGCATGATCTTGACTGGAAATGTCCAGATTGACGACCGCTACCTCGGCGGATTCAGTGATTGTACCATCAACGGGAATCTTTCAGAAGATCAAGTCCTCGAGGCGTATAAGAAATTCGTCGATATCTGTCGCCGAAAAGGAACTCCAACAGTCATGCAGATCAACCATCCTGGCCGTCAATCGCCTATTGGAGCTGGCAACAAATCATTCTTCGCAAAGAACATTGCCCCAAGTGCCGTTCCGCTTGATATGGGGAGCGATCTTATTTCAAAGATCATATCAGCCTTTGTCTTTGGATGCCCAAAAGAGATGACACTTGAAGATATTGAGGATGTCGTGAAGCGCTTCGCCAATACCGCACGAATAGCGGCCGCTGCCGGTTTTAATGGAGTTGAAATTCACGCCGCTCATGGCTATCTTCTTTCGCAATTCCTCTCTTCAAAGACCAATAAGCGAACTGATGCATATGGAGGATCACCGGCAGCCAGAGCGAAAATCATTGTCGACGTCGTCAAAGCGATCCGCGCAGTAACGCCACCAAACTTCTGCGTCGGTCTCAAGATGAACTCCGCAGATCATCAATCTCCCACCGAGCTCCAAGATTGTTTGGAGCAGATCTCTGTCATTGCAGAGGTCGGCTTGGACTTTTTGGAAGTCAGCGGCGGAAGCTATGAAAACCCAACTGTAAGCTACACCCGAATTTTGTGAAGCATTTCTGACATCTGTAGATGTTTACCGGAACTGGAGAGAAGAAGGCTGCTAGCACAGCTGCGCGAGAGTCATTCTTCCTTGAGTTCGCCCATGAGGTGCGCGCCAGGTTTCCAAAGGTGCTTTTGATGGTCACTGGAGGATTCCGCACACGGGCGGGTATGGAGGATGCACTGAGTCAAGGAGCCTGCGACCTTATTGGAATTGGCAGACCTTCTATCATTAATCCTTCTTTACCTGCGAATATCATCTTGAACAAGGAGGTCAGGACTGAGGACGCAAAGGTTTATGCGAAGCGAATCCATACGCCTTGGATTCTCAAGCAGATTGGGCCCAAGAGTGTTGGATCTGGTGTCGAAATTGTAAGTCACTTAGGTTCATGTCTGAGGAACAAGCTAATATCTCGTTAGACATGGTACAGGAAGCAATTACAAGCGATTGGAAATTAAGATCGAGATCGCCCTTTTAAGTTCTTGTTTCCTGTCATTTGTGCTGCTTTAGGATATCCCAAGACCACATCAGTCTGTTTTTCTGGAGGTTTTTGGCGCCAATTAATAAGTAGAGCTTTAGCAAATATATAATAATAGATATTCTTTCTTGAAATCTCGAAAGTAGTTGAATGTTGAATGACAGTTGGAAAGAAACAGAAGGTGACAGATCGGAGCATCACATGGCTAGCGCTGCCAAGAATTAGGGTAGCCACTTAAAACGCAGCACTGAGATTTTAAGATGTGGGTCTGCCGCTCTCTCCATGATCCGTCACGTGCGCACACATCTGAAATTCTGAACGACACGAAAACATCACCAAGATGAATGCAAAGCAAAAAGGGGACAAAATAAAGGGATACAACATAAAAAGTGAAACGGAAGCCCATGGCGAGGATCGAACTCGCAATCTTCTGATTGGTCTTCTTTATAGACTGCAGAGTGGTCAGTATTGGATTCACTACCAAGCGGGGTTTACTAACAGTCAGACGCCTTAGCCATTAGGCCACACGGGCCCTAACCTTAATTGGTTGAAGACTACTCACTGGACTGTTTTTAATCTATAGCCCTATGATTTGTGGTTCCAGCGCCTGCGGGACAGGTTACAAGCTTCTTCCGCAGATTTCCAATCACCACTTCAGCTGCACATTTGGGCAGGAATTTAAGTCAATTCATCATCTACCTCATCTTCAAAGCAATATCCAGCCCCAGTGGCTTCCTCAAGAACCCCTCACGCGTCTCCATGACCTCCTGCTTCAACTCTGGCGTGTATCTCCTCGCCCACGTAGCCACGATCAACTTCATCTCCATCTCCGCCACATTCCTGCCAACACACGCTCTCGGCCCATGACTAAACGGATTAAACGCAGTCTTTTGAAGGGTATTTACACTATCCCACCGCTCCGGCTTAAAGTCATCCGCATCAGGGCCCCAGATCTCCTTCGAGTGATGCAGCGTGTACGTCGGCACACTGAGCACGCTGCCGGGCGGGAAATAATGGCCCTTGATCGTAACGCCGGGTGAGTTGTCGGGAATTTGGCGCGGGAGGCCGATGCCGGATGTGGAATGATATCGGAGGGTTTCGTTGATCACGTTGTTCAGATAGGGGAGGTCACGAACCATGTCGTACGTAGGCACCGACACCTCCGCGGGGATAGCCTCGTCCAGCTCAGCTTGTAGTTTCTCAAGAACGCCTGGAGTTCGTGTGACGTGATACAGTAAAGCGCATGATGAATTAGACGTGGTGTCACTGCCGGCGATGAGCTGCGTCAAAGCCTCGGCTGTCAATTCCTCGCGACCCAACGGTTCACCCTTCTCATCTCTGCCTTCCATGAGTCGCGCGAGAAGATCTTTTCGCTCAACGGATGGCGGGTTATCCAATCTGGTCTTGACACGTGCAATCGCAATTCCAGCGAGGTTCTTCACGGCGTTGAGGCCATTGCTGAAAAACGGGTCGGGAAGCCACTGAGCATACGGCTTCAATTGCGGCCAGCAACCCAACGTCGCGCTGACTTCACCTCTTCTGTTCAAAATCTCAATCGCAGACGCATAAATCGGTGCGCTATCAGGCGTCTCTCTGACTTCGGCTACATCGGCGCCATTTGCGAGCATTCCGAAGGGTACACCGAAAGCAAGGTCGCCGATGACATCAAATGCGAGGTAGTTGAACCACGGGAGGCAATCAATAAGCGCTTGTCGCTTACCATCCTTATCGGTCGTCTGACCTGATGCGACAAGTTTGTCGAGCTGTTTGACGAAGAGCTCGAGGTTTGCATGGATGTACGGTTCAAATTGGCTGATTGACTTGGCGGAGAAGACATGAGAGATGAGCTTGCGCTTGAGTGTGTGTTCAGCGCGATCGCGAGTATTGAAGAGACCTCGTCGGATTGAGACAAATACATCGTAGAAGTCACTGCTCTTCAGT